TTCATTTTATTTTGATTTGTAATGTAAGATGAGTTAAGTTCCCCAAGTGCCCAAAGTTAGGATGGTCGAGTGTTTCCCGCACAAGATGAGGACATGGTTGGAAAATTTCACTCCAACTGAGAAACTAGCGATTACAAGAAGGTTGGGGTGCATCCCTCTGCTATTCAAAATCATCCCCGACAAACATGTGATTAGAGCACTAATTCAATTTTGGGATCCAAACCGTGTTGTGTTCGCCTTCAAAGACTTTGAAATAACACCTACATTGGAGGAAATCCTCTATTTCACCAGTTTGAAGTATCAAAGAATGGGTCAAATTATTCCACACAGTCAATCAGGAAAGAAATTTCTTCGCTACTTATGGTTGAAAAATGAAAAGAAACTTCGGTGCTTCGAAAATAATTGGGTTTCTTTGGACTACCTATATGAGAGGTATGGACGCTCGGATAGTTACAAGATGTTTAGGAAAGAATTCTCTTGTACTCAAGTTCATTGGCAAGTTAGACGTCCTATTGCATTTGTTGTGGCTTTACTAGGGACTTTGGTATTCCCACGAGAACACGGATACATTAGCACTTGCATATGTTCTGTGGCTCGAGTACTTTTTGAGGGAGTAGATGACGAAGAATTCACTGTGGTTCCCATGATTTTAGCAGAAATATTTCGAGCTCTTGGGAAATGTAAAAGAGGGGAATCAAACTTCTTTGAAGGTTGCAATCTTCTTTTACAAATGTGGGCAATGGAACATTTTCACCAACGTAAAAACATGGATGACATATGCTTTAGTAACACAAATCATATTAACAGTTTTTACGATAGGATGAAAGAGTTTGTGTATCCGGTTGGTACTGATGATTGGTATGAGTTTCTGGCCCACCGCACTAGTGACCAAATTCAGTGCAAATATTCATTACTTCCACATTCCCCTCCCTATATAAGATGTAGAAGATTTTATTATATCGAGCTTATTGTGTTAAAGGTCTCCAGCCATATGCTCCGGTGCGCGTGCTTCAACAGTTTGGTCAACCACAAGTAATTCCTCTTCGAGCAAATATGAGGAATTCTGAAATTCCCTTTAGACCAAACTTTGAAGTCCCTAGAGCCAGAGAGATTCTTCATGAGTGGGACAATATCCTCACTATAGATATTGGAAATGGGCCTGAAAAGGAAATTTCAGATTATCAAGTATGGTTTCGAGAAGATCGCAATAGCATAAGTCCAGAAGGTGAGCAAGGTTTTGAGGATATTGAAACGACGATCAGGATAAGACATTCTCGTCTTGGAACCAAAATAGTTACTCCTGAAATGTGGGCTCAAATGGAAAATACAATGCGATATTTGGACAAAGCGGGAGCAGGACCTAGCAACGTGGGAGCATCATCTTCACTTTCTCCACCAGCGTGATTGATAGCAAATTTAGGCCAAGTCTTAGATTTGTCCTTTATGGAACATTTTCACCAACGTAAAAACATGGATGACATATGCTTTAGTAACACAAATCATATTAACAGTTTTTACGATAGGATGAAAGAGTTTGTGTATCCGGTTGGTACTGATGATTGGTATGAGTTTCTGGCCCACCGCACTAGTGACCAAATTCAGTGCAAATATTCATTACTTCCACATTCCCCTCCCTATATAAGATGTAGAAGATTTTATTATATCGAGCTTATTGTGTTAAAGGTCTCCAGCCATATGCTCCGGTGCGCGTGCTTCAACAGTTTGGTCAACCACAAGTAATTCCTCTTCGAGCAAATATGAGGAATTCTGAAATTCCCTTTAGACCAAACTTTGAAGTCCCTAGAGCCAGAGAGATTCTTCATGAGTGGGACAATATCCTCACTATAGATATTGGAAATGGGCCTGAAAAGGAAATTTCAGATTATCAAGTATGGTTTCGAGAAGATCGCAATAGCATAAGTCCAGAAGGTGAGCAAGGTTTTGAGGATATTGAAACGACGATCAGGATAAGACATTCTCGTCTTGGGAACCAAAATAGTTACTCCTGAAATGTGGGCTCAAATGGAAAATACAATGCGATATTTGGACAAAGCGGGAGCAGGACCTAGCAACGTGGGAGCATCACCTCACTTTCTCCACCAGCCGTGATTGATAGCAAATTTTAGGCCAAGTCTTAGATTTTGTCCTTTTATTATGTCATCCTTTATGTATTTTTTTTAGTTTCTTCGTTGTACTCTCCTTTTTGTATTAATGAAAATTTGGCCTTTTGTTTCCCAAAACTTGAGTTATCACAAATTAATGGCTTGGATCAATCTATCATAATCACGTTATGTTTGACATTTAGGCCCACCTCTGGCAAAAAAAGGTCCCGTGCATATTAGGATGCATTTTCGTTTGAATATTTTGTTTATTATTTTGTTATGTGATTTACTTGCTGTGTAATACATGCTTATTCTCTATTTATTTATTGTTATTATTTAATTATTTGCCTAATTATTAATATCATTGAAACAACAATCACCCACTTGATACTAATATTTCTCTTTTTTGAAGGTTTTCTTTCTTTTGATTTATTTCCCCAAAGGTTGATTTGCGTTGACTACGAACTGGCGGATCATCCATACTTTACAAGATCAAAAGCACGTGCAGACATGACTGATTCAGGTGCATCTGATCAAAATGGTTTGGGACTTGTCACTGTCTTGAGAGATGAACCCGAGACTTCGGAAGGAATGGAACCAATCCCTTATGATGAACACATTACCAATTTGATGCAAAAAATGGCCAATATGCAAAGTGAGATTGATCGACTTCGAAATCTCACCAATTTGTCCATCACTTTGAACTCGCCACTTCCCGAGCATGGAACAAACACAACTACTCCGCCTTTTTTTCCACATGTTGACTCTCCTACTCCTCAATACTTTCCACCATACCCTTTCCTTCACAAGACCAATCCAACTGCTTCCAAACAATCCACCAACCCTCAACAACCCGACTTTCCACAAAACAATCCGCAACGAGCCAACCCTTTACCCTTCACTACCCCATATGCGTCCCAAACTTCACTTATCCAAACTTCAGTCATTCAAACTAACTCACTTACCCAAACTACCGCACTCACCCAAACTGCCTTACCAACCCAAAAATACCAAACAACCCAACATGTACCGGTGGCACATACTGCAATCCCTAACATGCAATATGTGCCTCAAGTATATGTAGCGGAAGCTCAACCTTTCCTAATCCAATGCCAACCATGCCAGAAGTCAATCCATATGAAGAGATGGAGAAAGAAGCAAGGTCAAGAACATATGACAATGTAGCAAGGCAGATTCGTAATTTGAAGGAAGCTTTCAAAAGTATCCAAGTCCATAAGGGGGTTGAAGGTCTTGAATATGAGGATTTATGTGTTCATCCCGATGTTGAATTACCCGTGGGGTATAAGGTACCAAAATTTGATGTATTTGATGGGAAGGGAAATCCTCGAGCTCATTTAAGGTCATATTGTGACAAGTTAGTTGGAGTGGGGAAAGATGAGGCCATTAAAATGAAGTTCTTTATAAGGAGCTTGACGGGAGAGGCCCTTGATTGGTACACGAGTCGAGACCCACATAAATGGAATAGTCAGGGTGCGATGGCGCAAGAATTCATGGATAGGTTCAAGTTTAACACTGAGGCAATTTCGGACAGGTTCTACTTGATGAAGCTGGAAAAGAAGTCAACGGAGTCATTCAGAGAGTATGCAATGCGGTGGAGAGCAGATGCCGCAAAAAGTTCAACCTCAATGGCAGAAAGTGAGATGACCTCTCTTTTTATACAATCCCAAAAATTTGCAACGTACTATGAAAAGATGATAAGTGTTGTAGGGCAAAAGTTCTTTGAGGTTGTCAGGATGGGAGAATTTATTGAAGAAGGTATTAAAACAGGGAGAATCACTAATTTGGCAGCCCTGCAAGCGACAAGTAAGGCAATTCAGTCGAATTCAATCGGAGGAGCCCTTAAGAAGAAGAAGGACGGTGTGTCTGCTGTCATGACCATCCAGGAACGTAGGCCAAACCAAATGTTAACCTACCAAAACCCATTACCCCAACCTTCATACTATAGTCAGTATACCCAAATTCCTCAACCCTATTATCAACCTTCACCTGCCCCTTACCCAGTTTACACCACCCAACCAACATATTGTCCACCTAGAGCACCTGTCTATTCAAATCCATCACGATACCAACCTACATATCCATCCCAATCCCATTATCTACCACAAAACCGTCCATCAAATGCACCCAGACCCCGCCCAAACTTTGAATAAAGACCAGCCAAAACTTATACACCTTTAGCAGAACCTTTAGCCCAACTATATGAACGGTTGAGAACAGCAGGAGTACTCCAACCAATCCAAGGACGAATTCCCAATCCCCTTCCTGGATGGTATGACAAGACTAAGCATTGTGCATATCACTCATGAGCTGCTGGACATGACACTGAAAGTTGCCTTACTCTTAAAGACAAGATTGAGGCATTGATCAAAGAAAGAATCATTCAACTCAAAGGTGTTGCCCCCAATGTAAGCAACAACCCACTGCCAAACCATGGCAATGTTAATATGATCACCGTTGATGAAGATTGCAACTTAGAAGGGACCATAGTACCAGTGAAGATAGAGAAGAATGTCGAGACATCGACCTTTATCTCTCCTGTAATCACAGTCCAAACACGAGCGTCAATTGAAGTGGAAGTTTCTCTTCCCAAGCCTAGGATCATGGACCTTGTCGCTCAATCATCCCCTTTTGACACTAAAGTGGTTCCTTGGGATTACCCGACTGATGCAAGGGACAAAGGAAAAGGAAAGATAGTTGTAGAAGCCGCTGCTACAGGAATGACAAGATTGAAAGATAGTTGTAGAAGCTGCTGCTGCAGGAATGACAAGATCCGGGCGTTGTTATGCCCCTGAAGAAGTTGTACGAGGAGGATCAAACAAGGAAAACAACCAAAAAAGGGTTGTGACAGAGGCTGAAGTGGAAGATTTCTGAAGGAAGATGCCAACTAAGGAATATTCAGTTGTTGAACAGCTAAAGAAAACTCCTGCTCAAATTTCCTTAATGGCCTTATTGATGAATTCTGCAACTCATAGGAATGCTTTGGTGAAGGTTTTAAATGAAGCTTATGTTCCAGCTGAGACCACTAGTGAGAACTTTTCGGCCATGGTAGGAAAAGTTTTGGAGGCTAATAAAGTCACCTTTCATTAAGATGAGTTGCTGCCTAAAGGTTTGGGACATAACAAAGCATTGAACATTACTGTCAGATGTAGTGATAAGTTTATTTCAAGAGTTCTGATTGATAATGGTTCAGCTGTTAACATATGCCCTTTCACTACTCTTCGAGCTTTGGGAATCGACATCAGAAAGATTCGTGAAAGTCATGTAAGGGTTAGAGGCTTTGATGGGACACAAAGGGGAGTTATTGGAGAAATCGATCTGCCATTGCAAATTGGACCTGTGGAGTTCATTGTGGAATTCCAACTGTTGGATATATCTGCTAGTTATAATTTATTACTTGGAAGGCCATGGATTCATATGGCTGGTGTGGTCCCTTCCACTTTGCACCAGACTTTGAAATTTGTTTGGAACCATCAGGAAATTGTTGTTCATGGGGAAGGTAACAACTCAATATATCCTGAAAATTCAGTCCCTGTTATTGAAAGTATGGAAGAGTTAGATGGGTCTGTATTCCAAGTTAGGGAAATTATGTGTGCTACTCACGCTGGAAAGGCAAATTTGCCACGTATGCTTATAATGGTGGCTTGGGAAATGTTGAAGAATTGTTTTATCCCGGGTCAAGGTGTTGGAGCGAAATTGGATGGAATAGTGGAACCAATTCAATTGCCTGGTCAGAAATACACCTTTGGTCTTTGATACGAGCCTACTCCTGAAGAAATCTCATCGGCTAATCTCAAAAGGAAAAGTGACATTCCCTTACCACAACCTATCCCGCCCTTGAATCAGTCATTTTCCAAGGCGTTTGCTGCACAAGGATTAGAAGAAGCTGCTGAAGATAACCTCACAGAAGAACTCAAAAATTTGTTCATTGAAGAAGTTAAATGCAATATGATTTTAGAGGACTGCACCGAGGCCCCGACCATATGGGATGCTATGCCTGGAGATGCTTTGAACAATTGGACTTGTAACCCGTCCCCGGTTCTCCGGGAATCCCGGTAGATGATTGTATTAGAATTAACCAAACAACATGATTCAAATTGAGGCCTGAATCGTGTTTTTGAATTTGATGTGTTTTGCCTCCATCTTTTGAAAGCTTAAATGCCAAATCTATGTTACCTTTTTCTGCTTTAAATTTTAAAATTTGTCTTTGATTATTTATTTTATTTTTATTTCTTTTTCTCTCTTTCAGCATGCAAACTAATAAATCTATCAATGCCGAGAATGTGACATGTAATGAAATGAGTGAACAAACCCCGAACAGTGAACAAACTTTTGCAGAATATGAAGAATATGTGCAGCCTGGAGAGTTGACTAAGGAGTTCGAACATTTTGAGAATAAAGAAACCCCAAATTTGGATGAAACTGAGACGATAAATTTGGGAGATTCAGCAGAATTGGTGAGGGAAACAAGAATTAATGTCCATTTGACTCCGTCCCAAAGAAAGAACTTATTGATCTTTTGACACAATACATGGATGTGTTTGCATGGTCTTATGATGATATGCCGGGTCTAACCACGAATATTGTTTCACAGAGGTTGCCAATTGATCCCTCTTGCCCCCTTGAAAAGCAAAAACCGAGAAAGATCAAGCCTGATTTGAGTTTAAGGGTTAAGGAAGAAGTCTCCAAGCAATTTGATGCCAATGTCATCCGGGTCACCAAGTATCCCACGTGGTTGGCCAACATAGTACCAGTGCCAAAGAAAGATGGAAAAATCAAAGTATGCGTAGATTATCGAGATCTCAACAAGGCTAGCCCGAAGGATGATTTTCCTCTCCCAAATATTCACATACTTATTGATAATTGTGCAAAGCATGAGTTGTAGTCATTTGTTGATTGCTTTGTAGGATATCATCAGATTCTAATGGATGAAGAGGATGCGGAGAAAACTGCAGTCATCACGCCTTGGGGAATATATTGTTACCGGTAATGCCTTTTGGACTCAAGAATGCAGGGGCAACATAAATGAGAGCTATGACTACCATATTTCATGATATGATCCATAAGAAGATTGAAGTCTATGTGGATGATGTCATCATCAAGTCACAGAAGATCACAAATCATATAATAGATTTGAAGAAGTTCTTTGACAGATTAAGGCGGTACAATCTGAAGTTAAATCCCGCAAAATGTGCATTTGGTGTCCCTGCCGGGAAGCTGTTTGGTTTCATCATGAGTAGGAAAGGGATAGAGCTAGATCCTTTAAAGATAAAGGCTATTCAAGACTTACCTCCTCCAAAGAGTCGAAAGGTTGTAATGAGTTTTCTTGGTCGCCTCAATTACATTAGTCGATTCATTGCACAATCTACTGTAATTTGTGAGCCAATCTTCAAGTTGCTGAGGAAATATGCTGCAACAAAATTGACGGAAGATTGTCAGAAAGCTTTTGACAGAATCAATGAGTATTTATCTAGTCCACCAGTCTTGGTGCCCCCAGAATCTGGAAGACCATTGTTGTTGTATTTGTCAGTGTCTGACAATGCATTTGGATGTGTGCTGGGACAACATGACGAAACTGGAAAGAAGGAGCAAGCTATATATTACTTGAGCAAAAAGTTCACTCTTTATGAAGCTCGGTATACTTTATTAGAGTGCACTTGTTGTGCTTTAACTTGGGTTGCACAAAAGTTATGACATTATTCATGTGCGTATACCACTTTTCTCATCTCAAGGATGGATCCACTCAAGTATATATTTCAAAATCCTATGCCCACTGGAAGGTTGGGGAAGTGGCAAATTTTGCTTTGTGAATTCGACATTGTTTATGTCACTCAAAAGGCCATCAAGGGACAAGCGCTAGCTGATCATCTCGCTGAAAATCCCATGGATGAAGAGTACAGGCCTCTTAAAACTTATTTCCCTGATGAAGAGGTTTTATTTATTGGAGAGGATATATTCGAAGAATATCCCGGGTGGAGAATATTTTTTGATGGTGCTGCGAATTCCAAAGGAGTCAGTGCTGGAGCAATGTTGATCTCAGAATGAGGTCAACATTATCCTATCTCAACAAAGTTCAGATTCTTATGCACAAATAATATGGCAGAGTACGAGACTTGTATTCTTGGGCTTAGAATGGCTGTTGACATGAATATACAAGAATTGTTGGTTAAAGGTGATTCCGACTTATTGATTCATCAGGTTCAAGGCGAATGGAGCACCAAGAATGTGACGATACTCCCATATTTTCTATGTTTGAAAGAATTGCGCAAGAAATTTGTCAAGATAGAATTCAAGCATATTCCTCGAGCTTAGAACGAGTTTGTAGATGCGTTGGCAACCCTGGCTTTTATGATTCAACATCCAGACAAGAACTACGTAGATCCAATCAAGGTCAATGTGCAGGATCAGCTAGCCTATTGTTTCCATGTAGATGAAGAACCGGATGGAGAACCTTGGTAGTATGACATTAAGAGGTATCTCAGAGAAGGAGACTATCCAGAAGGAGTAAGCAATGTTCAAAAGAGGACACTTCGGAGACTCGCAAATCACGTTTTCCTAAGTGGAGAAATCCTTTATAGGAGGACTCCAGATTTGGGATTGTTGAGATGTGTTAACTCTCAAGAGGCAAGCAAGTTGATTGAAGAAATACATGGAGGTACATGTGGGCCACACATGAATGGTTTCACTTTGGCAAAGAAGATTCTGCGAGCTAGATATTTTTGGATGACCATGGAAACAGACTGCATCCATTTTGTGAGAAAGTGTCATCAATGTCATATTTATGGTGATTTGAATCGGGTTCCACCGAATGAGCTAAATGTGACGAGTTCTCCTTGGCCATTTGAAGCTTGGGGCATGGATGTCATTGGCCCTATTGAGCCGACCACCTCAAATGGACACAGGTTTATTCTGGTAGCTATTGATTACTTCACAAAGTGGGTAGAAGCATCTTCATACAAGTCTGTGACAAAGAAGGTGGTGACATATTTTGTTCGCAATAACATCATTTGTATATTTGGGATCCCCGAGTCAATTATTATAGATAATGGAGCTAATCTCAATAGTGGCTTGATGTATGAGATATGCGAGAAGTTCAAAATTATTCACCGCAATTCCACTCCTTATCGACCTCAGATGAATGGAGCATTTGAGGCCGCTAACAAAAATATTAAGAGGATATTGCGGAAAATGACTGATAACTACAAGCATTGGTATGAGAGTTTGTCCTTTGCCCTTCTTGGCTACCGTACCACAATCAGGACTTCTACTGGGGCAACGCCTTATCTTTTGGTTTATGGGACAGAAGCAGTATTACCAATGGAAGTTGAAATACCATATCTGAGGATCATCCAAGAAGCTGAGTTAAGTGATGCCAAGTGGACGCAAAGCCGGTATGAACAATTGATGCTCATTGATGAAAAAAGAATGATTGCAGTTTGTCACGGGCAACTTTATCAACACAGGATGGCCAAAGCTTTCAACAAGAAAGTAAGATTGAGGCAGTTTGAACCGGGACAATTGGTGTTGAAGCGAATATTCCCACACCAAGATGAAGCTAAAGGGAAGTTTGCACCTAATTGGCAAGGACCTTCCATGGTTCACCGAGTACTGACTGGAGGAGCTTTAATTCTAGCAGAAATGGATGGTAAAATATGGCCAAAAGCTATCAATGCAGATGCGGTTAAGAGATACTACATCTAGAGGTTTCTATTTCATTTTCTTGTAATCTTTCTGTCATGTATTGGAACTACGTCTTGACCTGATTCCCATGGCGGGATACGTAGGAAATCTACATCGAATTTGGTCTTTCATTAGGTTTTGCAAAATTTCCTTTCTATGTAATATGAACTACGCTTGGCCTGATACCCTCGGTGGGATACGTAGGCGGCCTATATTGGCTTCGGTCACTTTATTAGATTTTTTTCTTTTATTTCTCCATTTCTTTGTATGTAGCGAACTACGTATGGCCTGATTCCGTTCGGATACGTAGGCAACCCGAGAAGGGTTCGGCCCCTTTATTCAAATTTTGATTGTATCCTTAGGTTATGTTTGGTTCGGTGCCTTGATAGAATAGTGTGCATCCTACAGAAGGTTTAGTGTCCTCGTGACCAAAGGACAACATATCTCTTTCGCAAAAATTGGGACAATTTTTAAGGGCATCATTGCAAGAAGATATCAAGATATTTGAAGAGTATATCGAATCATCCGACAGAAGAAAGACTTCAGATAAAGGACGTTGGCTTTGTTTCATGACATGTCACAATATGAAGTTCGACAAAATTCTTTATTGCTATATATACGTTATAATTTATCTTATTTTCAAATATGATTTTCAATCAAATGTTTCCTTTTTATTTATTTTCTTGTTATTCATTTAACCAAGATTTAGAATGGACGGAGGTTATGAGTCCAAGCAAAGCTGGAAGAAAGAAGTATGAAGAGCCAGACCTTCAAAGTCAACGTGAATCAACCTCCCCCAAAACTTATAATTTTTCTTTGAGTGCAAGTTTGTCAGGATTAATAGAAGCGGAGAAGTCAATAACATTTGTAGCATCAAAAGGACTATATGTCGAGTAGTTTGAATTACTTACTTATAAATTTATGATTCGAAAACTTATAAGTAAGGCTTTATAAATTTTCAAATGTGTTGGTAACAAATGTTATTTAATAAAACATTGCACATGATTTTGCTCTACATAAATGCCTTTAAATGCACTGCACAAATGCTTTCAGATATTTCCAAGCGCACTGCACATTTGCTTCGAGATATTTTTCAAACGCACCGCACAAATGCTTTCAGATTTTTCGCATGCATGCTTTCAAATACTTTAAACGCACTCCACAAATGCTTTAATATATTTTCAAATGCACCGCACAAATGCCTCGCACAAATGCCTCGCACAAATGCCTCGCACAAATGCACTACACCAATGCCTTCAATTATTTTCAAACACACTGCACAAATGCTTCTAAATATTTTCAAATGCTTTATATTTTGCACAAATGCATATTTTCAAATGCACAAATACTTTCAAGTATTAAAAGGGAATTCCAAATGGCTTTATCGCTTTTCTAATGCATTGCACAAATGCTTTCAGTTGATTGCACGGATGCTTTCAAACATATTGCACAAATGCTTTACCAGTCTGCATTGCTTTTAAGGACCTCCTTTTCATAAATCACCTGGCTTAAAAAGTCTCATTTTTAAATCATTTGGCTAAAAGCCTCATATCCATAATTTGTTTGGTTAAGGCCTCATTTTCATTAATCATCGCTGAAAAGCATCATTTCTCATGGATCATCGGCCTTAAACCTCTTTTCCATAAACTTTGTAAGATTTTATCTTGTTAAATCATTTCGGCTTGCAAGGCCGCATTTTCATAAATTCACACCTACGAGGTGTTATTTCCATGTGTTTATCGCACCATGCATTGTGTTTACTATTATTTACTAATTGTTTTGTCAAGTTTGAGTTCTGCAGGAGCTTTAGCACAATGTGGAACTATTTCTAAGCAGTGAACTAGAGCAATTTGTTGGAGAGTAAAACTCACCAACAAAGATCACGGGTCTACCTCGACTCCATTCTCAAATACTTTCCTCGATCACAATATCCAATAACATCAAATTCAATACTGGGGCAAACTTCTTAAGCTCGCGTCTACCTCGTTTCAAAATCCTCTGCCTCATAATTTACCTAGTGCATATATCCTTTCCCACCTCCAAGATCTTATTTTTGGGTCGGGAGAAAATTGGCTAATACGTCAACTTCTTTGCCCAAAAACTCTTACATCATCTCTGGTCAAAGAGGAACAAGCTGTTGACACCCAATTTTGACCCTCCTTCCTTTCAGTTTATTATTTCTAAGCTTCTAAATTAATAATGCATCAAAATCATCTTTTCACGATTACTTTTCACTACTACGACTTTTTTGGCTATGTTACTTTCATTGTCATTTAAACTATATGTTTATTATCGAAATTATCATTATCGTTTCTTATACCTCTTTTCTTAAATATTGAATTTGTTGTCACTTTATTTCAAGTTTTATACGTATTTAATTAACTATAAATCCCTACTTTTGTATCTATCTTATATTAGCGTAGAATCGTAATAGTGATATTTTTATAAATTATTAATTTTCATCAAAAATAAATAAATATATATATAGTAGTGATTGTTAAGTTAGAAGCCCAAAATAGTTTAGGAAAAACCCAATATATTCGCACCAAGTAATCAACCCATTATTCTTTTAAAATTTGGTCTGAAGCCCAGCCTTTCAATGGCCCAGTTTCGCACCATTTTCAGTAGCCCAAATTCCTCCTCCCAAATAAACCTAATACCGTTAGAAGCTAGGGTTTTCTTGTGTTGCTGTGCAGCTGGTCGCTGCTTCCTCTTGTAGCAAGCATTTTGTTGCTTTCGCCATTGCCAGACGTTGGGTTCGCCATTTTCGTGCAAATAATGCTTTATCAGAAGTGTCTCCATCTAATTTTTCCCGTTTGGTGCTTCAAGGATATCAATGTCCGAAGGGCAGTAAAAGATTTCCCGTTTCAAGTAAAGTCTATCTTGTTTTCTCTGATTCAAATCACGTGAAGAACTCTGATTTGCAACGTTTGAATTTGAACTTTTGTTTTGACCAATCTCAAATACATTTCCCGCTCAAGATTTCAACCCAAGAAAGTCTGCCTATAAATATCAATGTTTGGAATAGGGTTAGGGGAGTTTTTTTTCCAGCCACCTCTTATCTCTTAAAAAAACTTAACAATTTCACTCCTGTTTGTGTCTCTCCATTTCCGCCTTTGGTGTTATGTTGTTGTCTGTTTCTTTACTCCCATCATTCAAGGTCTTTCGAGATAGCGAGTAGATCCGAGTTCAAACACGTCCAGTTCGCTGCCCCAAAATAGGTTAGTGAGCTTTATCTTTTTTTTTTTACGAGATATGGATGAATTTATGTTTTAACATGTTGTGAGCTTGCTGTTAGTTTCATTTAAGTTAGTTTTGTATTTTTGGCACTGTAAATAGGTATATAGCTTGACCTCAGTTAATCATAATGTTCAAACTTTGTATATAGGAACAAGTGTTAAAATCTGTTTGTGCATGGGATTTAAGAATGGCATCGTGTTGTTTTGTTTTAACTATTTGATGTATAATGATTTTAAAAATCTGTTTCATTCGGCAAAATTATGCATTCTGTTCAAATAGATTTAAGCAAAAAAAACATACATAGACCGAGTACTATCTACAATTAAACTTTTATATTTTCGCACCTTAAGCATTGTTTCAGTCCAATCTTGCATTATATGTTGTCTGTATTGTTCATCTTTGCATTTTTAAACCTAGTAACTAAGTAGTCATAAAACCCTTTTCTTAAAGGTTGTATATTCAGCTATGTTTCAAGTGTTCTTTCTATTAACCTAGATGTTATATTCATATCTAAGATTAAATGTGTAATATGTTCAACCTGTTCCAAATATATGTTCTATCTGAATGGAAGGTCCATCATCTGTATCCATTTGAATATATCGTTTGTCTTAGCTAAAATTATGGCATATACCCTTAAACACTACTTTAGAGACTATGAGTTAGTTTAGATCAAATTCCCAAAGAAAGAGTTGTACAGTGATTCCTTTAGCCCTCTCTAAGTTTTAATTTGTTAATTGTATCAAGTTTTCATGTATGTTTTCTCTTTACAGCTAGTTACATCTCTAATATGTTATGCTGAGGAATTTGTTTTTGTCTTTCCTATTTTTTTTACCTGCTAAATCTGTTCTTCTAATTCCCTATATATATATTTTTTTTCATGACAATGGAGCACAAAGAGTCTCGTTTGAGACTCAACCTCATCATCGCTATACCCGAAGATGGCATCTTTCTCTTCGCTGTCACTCATTTACTGCTCTTGTTCCTTTATATTTCTTCTAAACAGAAACGGAAGTGATAATAACAGAGCTTCTGGAGTCTTATCCATTTCTTCCACTCTCTCCCATCTGAAAAAATATAAAGCGAAAATGGAGGAGACGCTTCTATATCTTACTTCTATCTCTTACTGCTTTATTTTGTTTGCCATTAATTATGTTATGAAGTTTGCTACTTATTTGTTTTTATTATATTCTATTTTAATTCTTTTGATTTCATCGATAAAGAATCAGGCCTAGAACACTTGAACCTTGAAAGGGTAGTTTATGATGTGTAGTTTCCTATTTTGAGTAGAAATGCATATGTGACTACTAACCAATCGTTTTGTCTCTGTTTCTTTTTTTTTTATCTATTCTATAAAGAGTAAAATTAAAATGGGGATTTGTTTAGCATAAAAAATGTAATTTTCAGAAAGTTCAAAAGTGCAGATTTTATGTGCAAAGAAAGACAGCTTTTTCTAATGGCAAAAATGCAGATTTTAGTGAAAATATACAGCTTTCAGAAAAGTCTATACTTTGAACACTTAAAACTGCAGATTTTTGAGCACTAAAATACAACTTTAATAGTTTTATGTGCGGACTTTTTTAGGCCTCAAATGCATCCCCTTTATCATTTTTTTTATGGTTTAAATTTATTTGGAAAATGCAGCATCTTTTGAGACTTAAACATAGTCTTTTGTGAACTTTAGAGTGTAGATTTTCATGGTAAAAAGTGAATTTTAGAGTGCAGACTTTCATGGTAAAAATACAACTTTTAAAGAACTTGGGAGAGCATTCCCACCCCCTTAA